TTTGTGAGCATGAGCCATATTAGTTCCTAATGTGCAGAGTCACCTGAAGCCTCCACACGGTATTCATATCCTGAGAGGGGTATAGATGAAATTGTGGCACACTTTATTAAGTATGATATTACCACACACGTTAAACTGAATAAGGAAAAAGCCCTGTTCAGTTTGTCGGACAGAGGTATTCACTCTGTCTTCACCTTAACCACATCTTTCAGTCTCCGAGCCACAGATGGAGTCTCCGAGGGAGGAATCTCACTGACAGGAAATTATGAAAAAGAATTAATTTGACCTTTGCTCGCAGCAAGAAAAAGTGAGGGACACGAAGAAAGGAAGGGGACTGAGGGGAGGGCGGGTAGTTGGAGTCAAGGGAGGCTTAAGGAGGAAGTGCCTCCAGAGAGGGCAGCATCCTGAGAAGAGAGCTCGGATAATGAGAGCTCTCAGCTCCCAACACACTCCAGCGAAAGATCGGATTCACTGAACAGCCTAGAGGAAGGGCAGCAGTCACCCCGAGCCCCTCGAGTCTTCAAAGTGAACACATTCAAGAGAGACTTTAGGGTAAAGACCTTCAATCCACTCATGAATTTTCTTCACTAAACACCCCGGCTATACCAGAGTGAATATTATAAAAGTTTAACCATAACCAAGTTTTACCAGTCAGTACAATCAGAGAACATAAGACCAATGTCTCCTATCAAGGAAAATACTAATAATAATAATAAAGTTTGATTCAAAGTTTGACTTGAGTAAAAACTGTCTCTCTGAGGTTTTTGTTGTTGCCTCTAGTCACTCAAAATCATCACGTCAGCAATGCTGAACTAGTTAAAAACCATGGGAAATATACAGGAGGACATCCTGTTCTGCGAAGATCTCTGACTGAGGAGATTTCCTCTATGGAGCGAAGAATTCATTAAGGTGCCCCGGAGCGAAGGAACCAAGGTCCACTAAAGCACGACAGGAAAGCTTCCTTCATTCAAATTCACGGAGCTTTTTCACCCTTGTATGACGAGTATCAGGGACGTATAGAGGATTAAACATTTAAAGACTTGAAAATAAAATTGTAACTGAGAAGCTGTCACCGGCGATGAGACATAAAAATTAGTAACCAAGGAGAACCTGCGCTCGACTGAGTTGAGTCAATCTCACTGTTTATGGAGGGACCAGGAAACACCAAACATTCCCTCCTCCACTAGAATTTTCTCCAAGTCCATGTGGTTCTTTCCTTGGAATAGAAAGTTTTGATACTTATGATGATGTGTTAATGATAAGACAAAATATTAAGTATTGACACCCTAGAGTGTAATTTAACAAGATACTCCACGTTCCGTCTTTAAACGCAGGAGACAGGCTGATCTTTTGATTTTCCCGCTACACGACAACACAGCCTGAAATTAAGACTTCATTCTCAAAACCTCAGATTAGTTCCTTTCAAGAGGCTCTAATACAACATCTGTATTCAGCGACAAGCTGGAAATATTTCCACGAGAAGAATCTCGTTAAACCACCCAAAATACGGAAACAAATAAACTTCTCAACAACTTACAACGCAATTTATAATTCTGGACAATCAGCACAAATGAAAAGGAAAGTGATCCTGTGAAGAATCTCTGTCTAATTTCCCACAAAGTTGTCTTCATCTTCTTTGTTGAACCAGACTCTGCTGCAGCAAATGAAGCATCGGCAGCCAGCCTGTGTCCACATCCACAGATTAGCACCGTGCAGTCAGAAAACCACTTTCATCGAGCTCCGTCAGCTGTGTAATTCAAGTTTCTTTTAAGAGTGATGATTTCACAAGCCAGTAATAGCATATTTACTGGCAAAGGGCTGTTATTGAAAATTCTGAAATGGTTTTAAGCATGAAATTGAATACAGAAGTTTTTTTGGGGGTGGGGGGGGGCAGAAGAGGAGAAATGCGACGTCTTCCAATCTTTTGTATCACAGTTAATTCAAAGACTTTCGGGGCCGTTTCGAGAGGCTGTGGTTTTAAGTGCCATCATCTACAAATACATTAATTACAACATTCTCATTCGCTGTTTTCAATAGTCTCACAATCAGACTTTTTTAAGCTGTCGGGGGGGTTAATGGGAAGTCATTAAGCAGGAGAGATCTCGCTTGTCACCCTGCCCTCTATGTATTTTGTCTCAGGTGCAGAAAGATCTTCATCGTTTCTATGGCTACACATATTAGAGCTAAATATAAACCGAGCAACGAGCACGTCGGTCTCAGCGAGAGACATTAACAAGAAAAACACTGAATTGATGAGACAGGAGTTGCTGTTCAAACTGAATCTCTATTAAGTTTAAATCACCTCACGAAACTTCAGAAAACTCAATTATACTGGTTTTCTTTCTATGTGCAGATCTTGCTTTCATATCTGAACAGATTTTAGATTTTTGTAAATGAGAGCATTTTATCTAAGAGAATGTGTGGTTGTGTAAATATAGATATTTGTATATATATTGCAAATCTTAAAAAAGCCAGGATTCAAATCAGAAAATAGTTAGATGTCATTTTATATTATGATAAACTTACATACATATGGCCAGACAGTCTCTAATAAACGCCTGGTGCATCCTGCAAAGTGAAAGGACGCAGGCTCTTTTTATAGACCTAGGTTATAGAGAGAAAGGGACAAAGAGAGATAAAGAGACACCCACTATCTATAAAGAGAAACGTTGCAGAGGACAGAGCGAACAAGGTAGAGAGAGCAGAGGTGTTGTGATTACTGCGGCGTACCCGGGACAAAATTAGCTGGATGGACAGTGATTAACCTTTAAGGTTGCTTGGCCACGGGAGGAAAATAATTACACCACCCGCCTCCCCCCATCCCTCTCTTCCACAGGGGCGTCAGAGGGCGGGGACTCGCTGTTTACAGTCAACAGAGATGGAACGAGACGTTCCAACAACGGGAGTCAAAGGAGGCGGCCTGATGGAGAATACAGAGCAGTATTTGTCTTCCATCCAACGGAGGAGGGTTTCCTTTTCTCACCTCCTTCCCTCTCTCACACTCCTCACCCTCCCTCTCCCTCTGTCTCATCGCCACCTCCTCTTCTCCTCTTCTGTTCTCATCCTACCTTCTTGTCACCTACACCTCATCCCTCCACTCCCCCCACTCTTCTCACCATCCTCTTTTATTCATCATCTCATCCACGACACCTTTTCCCTTCGTTTCTCTCTCTCTCTCCGACTCTCCTCTCTGGCTTGGCCTCCTACAGCTGTATCCGCCTATAGCTAACAGCTTGAGGAAGTGCGTCCAGGGCCTAGAAATACTCTGCCGTCTCTTCTGCGTGCAATATTTTCTCTCTCTGCCAAAAGCATGTCCAGAAGCATCAGCTAAGGAGACTTAAAATACTTCTGCTTCCTTCTCCTCCTTTTCTGTTTCTCACCATTCCACCACATGCTTTACTTCGAGAGATACTGTAGCTGGAAGATACAGGAAATTAAAAACAGATATGATAATGCATGAAACTATCAATATCAAATGACAATTTTTATATTTCTATAAAACCCCAACTTCTCTTATGGTAATGTTATTCCCTCCCGTATTAAATCTGATTTAATACATATGAACCATGTGCTTTCAATCCAAATAAAATATAATAAAAAGAAGTTGTTTCTTCTCATCTATTCAACCTCTTTTATCCATTTGTACATTCCCTACATCAACCCTATTTCAGTCTTTTCTGTCCCTCTGTCCGTCCTCCCTGAGGACCCAGGCGGGCTCCAGTAATAGGCTGCGTCCTGCTGAGGCCAGTGGCCTGTCGCTGCTGATGGTGGTGGGCTGTCGTTTCCCATATCATCAATATGGAGAAAAAGAGAAGAGAAGAGAGGAGAGGAGAGGATGTGGCAAAAACACAAGGAGGAAGAGGGATGGGAGGTTGAGAGTCGCCCTGAGCAAAGTGTCATCACTCAGCTAAACTTTCTCCCTTACACACTCCATTCTCCACTTGCTCGGGGACCAGCAGTGGGGATAAAAGCTTCTTTATTACACCCCACCTGTTTTCCAAGAATTTCAAGTGGGGACAAAAATTCCTAGAATTTGTATTTCGGCCCCTCCGGCAAAGCCGTGTTTGAGAGTCTGTGGGCAGACGGGTGGTGGTGGTGGTGGTGGAGGTGATGCAGAGAGCTGATGGTGGCGCTGATGGAGGAGGGCGGCTGCTAGGATCGCAGAGAAAGAGACGAGGGAAGCTGAGAATCACGGGGTGAGGATGGAAAATAACAGCGCTCGGATATTGTTATAAAACAAGATGATGCCTTGTGCGAAGTGAGAAGAGATATTATCATCGTATTGTTGTAGTTGTTATATCGGGTTTCTAATAAATTATAATTAAGACACAAATATCATATAATATTTCATCCCAAGCATTGTTGTAATGGACGAGAAAAGACGAGGGAGAAAAGACAGATGGATGGAAATAACCAAAATGGGTTTACCCAAAACATCCTTCTGTTGTGGAACAGCTTTTACTTGGACAGAGGATGTTAGAAAATGTGATGGTTCAAGAGAGTAAATAAGGTATGATAGCCTCTAGCTCTCCCCTTAATGCTAACAGTCAATGATTTTAATTTCTCAGAGTCCAACACTGCATAATATTTGCACGTATTGTTTTCTTGAGCAGTGGTTTGAGAAGTCGTAATATTAAGATCACTTTACACGGAACGATTTCCAAAAAGACAATTTTGTACATGACTCTTATTGTTGCATAATCGTTTATGATTCATCACTTCCTGCGGGCTTTAAAACATGCAGTGATTGCCATGGCTACAGATGGCGTGTGCATAAATTCTGCACAGTAAATGATTTGAATATTTATCAGAATGTGAGATGTCAGTCTCCTTGTGAATAATCTTTACCCAGGAGGGATGCAGATACAGCACGTGCTCGGAAAAAACCTGGAGTGTTGCGACGCTGGTGTGAGCAGATCATTTGCTCGGTGTGTGAAATGTGTCGGCTGTAAAGTCAGTGTCATTTATGCTGCAGCGAGTTTCTTGGCTGAAGAATCTACCTTGTGTGAGAAGTTGAAGTGTCCTGACTTCCTCCCGGACTCGCAGCTGCAGGACCTGCTGCAGGATGTGCTGCCTCTGGGCTTCCTGCATGATGCCCATTCTTTCCAGCTTTCTGTCCGTCAATCTCATCAGAGCCCGCCCTGTGGGGGGGGAAAAAAACACACAATGCAGAGATGCATTTTAAAACTAAAATGTCGCAGTGTGGCTGTAGCCGGAAGGTTAAGGGACAGAAGGAGACAGAAGGCAGTGGGGATTCTGTCTGCACTGCTGGAGACACTCTAAAAGATAAAGCATTCATGTCAGCGGAGGAGCAGATTGAGGAAACGCACACAAACAAAATGTGGTCACAAGATTACTGCTGCATAAATCATCAAGAGTGAAATTCTGCAGCTCTTCAAGGCTGCAACATTGTTTGTGACATAAAATCAAAATTTTATGAGTCGCGTCACGTGGTCACCGATGTGTCTGAAATTTCTATTTAGCTCAGCGGAACTGGACTGTTCTGAAACACAGCACGTTCCACATGAATATCATTGCTGCGGATCCCTTGAGCAAATTCCCTCACAGCTCTTTCCTTAATTACAAATCCTTGTAAAAAAATCCATAATTTAATCATTCAATCAGTTTCTATGAGGAGGATTTGGGCTGCTGATAAAACGCGAGTGGAGTGTGGTGTAATTATTAACGCTCGTTATGAGTGCCTTTGTATCGTGGGATGGTAAGCAGATAGGATGATTATTCAGAGTAATTACTCTGCATTAGGTTGGACCCCGACAGCTCCCTTTGCTCTTTTGCCCCGGTGGCGGAAACCATCTCCGATTGGCTGACAGGCGGGATAAAGATCAGTCCAGTCTGTGTACGGTCAGATCACTGACAGAAGCAAATATGATCCTCATTGATTAGAGACAAGTTGAATTCCCAAGCATTAAACGGGTGAACTTGCTCCTCTTCAATGCAGATTTTTCACAACAACAACAGAGAGAAAGGGCAGACTTGATCATTTCACGTCTCTTGACTTGTACGGACGATCTATTTCAGCTCATTGAGACGTTCTGAGCCCCACATTACCACTTTACCACCGCAGCACAAAAGGTAGCAGTTGGAAAAGCTAAGTACCGTTAAGTTTTATATAACATCGTCTGTGTTCGAACACTTTTCTTCTGTCTTAAAGAAAGAAGCCACGGCCAGATGGGGCTAAAACGCCAAACGTGGTTAAGAAGCAAAATGGCGCTCAGAGTACCCATTACTGTACATAAACACTGGGGAGCTAAGTGGAGTCATAAAAGCTCAGAAGTGAGGGGAGCATATTAAACGGGAAGATGGAGAGACAAAGATTAGCGAGGTGGAACGAGAAAGTGGACTAATGAATCAAAGGCGGGGCAGAGGGCGGATAGTTGGGCAGAAGAGGGAGACGTACAAATTGACAGAAGAAAAAAACGACATAAAATATGCGGTTATGAGTCTATAAATATTGAGCAACCATCGCCTGGCACCTCGCCGCGTAACCAAAGAAAGATCGGCATGGAAACAGAGGTTCACAGTGTCTCTGCTTCAGTGATGTCTGTCTTAAATAATGGGACATACAAGAGGAGCAACATGGCTCCATAACCAGGAGACAAACAGATCATCGCTCAGGTTTATATGACACACTATGGCTTCAAATTATTTTTTATTTTATTTTAACTTTATTAAAAACCAGAATGTGCTAAAGTCTCCAGAGATGGAACCTATGACACCCGGTGGAGTCTGAGCTTGAAATCACAGTTAACAGCAACAACACTTATACATAAAATTAAAATGTGGTTAATGGGCCCAGTGTATATAAATGGGGGAGTTTACTGGACTGATTCCAAAGGTTTTTGTCAGTACGATTGATTTACACATCCACATTTATAAAGATAAAGCCCAGGTTGAAGATGTGTTTTACTGCTGAGTAACGTAAAGTGTCATTTTCTATTTACACCTGTGTAACACATCATTACTACAGCGTATGTAAAACCTTGGTGTTCATGTCCTTTGTGACTTCTCAGGTTAAATTACTCTGAGACAAGATTCACATCATGGATTCCTGTTTTATTTGCTGATGTCACAACTCAACCTTCTGTTTGCATAATGCTGGAAGTACACAACACTACGAGCACAGGAGCTGCTGATGACTCAGCAGGTTTTCGGAATAACATGCAGATGCTTAATATTGCAAATGGAGAGATGTCTTAAATAAGTAAATATAATAAACAAAGGTACGTGGGCTTGTTGTTGAGTATACATGTTTGACTCCAGAACCCAGGGTCCATGAAACCTTCCAGTTACATTTCAGAATTGATCGTTGAAAGGCTTTAACATTGTTTGACTGACTAAAGTTTCTATTGAGATTGAAGTAAATCTGTCGTCTTCTAACAAACTTGTAAGCATGGAAACGTGGGCAGGTGGAGTTCTTGCGGATGCCTGGAATACGAGGAGCTCGGTGACTCTGAGCAAACTGCCAGTTCTCGGCGGTGGGTGCCAACGCTCTGCTCCTTCTGCTCGGCGAGGCAGCATCAGCAGGGTAGAGCGGCTTCTGTAAGCAGTCCAAGCTTTCACTGTCTTTGCCCTGCAGTTCTGAGTGACTGGCATCAGCAGACCCACCGACAATCTCAGCTGGGAATTTTTCAAACCACAATTAATCCAGTGAGCAGTGTAGCGTGGCCTCGAGGAGAGGAGGAGGAGGAGGAAGGGGAGGAAGAGGAAATTGGTCAAGAGGAAATAAATGTGAGGGTGAGATGCTTGAACATCTGACACTGAGGAGAAAAAAAAAAGTCAATGGGCAAAAGATGTAGCCAAAGAAGGGAGTGTGTGTAGTCAACAGTCCAGACAATGTCAGGCTGGTTTTGCCGCCTGATTAATTCTACACAGCTGCGTTGCTGTGATGGAGCGTGGCGTCATTTGGCAGATCAACGCAAAATGACAAAAAGAAGACGTGGCAGAAAATCCTTAACTCTTGACCCAAGACATATATATGACACTCTCCCACTGCGACGTGAAGTCCCACTGCTCGCTCAGCTGCAGGGAACTTAATGAGGGCATTGCAGTCGATCCCCTACAGGCCTGAGACGTGCCATGGCTCTCCAAATCTACAGTGAAAAATTCAGGAAAAGGTGAAACCGTGAAAATATTGTCTGCATGTGTGTCGCTGCATATTCTTTTTTTTAAACTGTGCTGAGTTTGTTTGCTGTGAACCGACTATGATCCAGCGAAGGGCCACATGGTCACTTACAGTATTCATATGTTTATTTTTGTATTTTATCAAACCTACACTACATACCTGTTTATATTCTGTACATTTACACTCCTTCCCTCTCTCCCCTATCTCACCGCTCCTCCACTCTCACTTACCTATTCAGAGAGCTACCATGCTTATCAGCCCTCCTGGAATGAGGTAAATAATTTCTCCCCCTCTTTCTGTAAGATGGTTAGAGACGAGCTGCTCCTGCTTCCACTGTACTCGAAATCCTTCTCTGCTTCACACGTCTGAGATTCCTCCAGTTACCCGTAGCTTGTACCAAATGCAGTTTTACACACAAAACCAAATATGAGCACACGTGTTATACACACAAGCTTTACGTAAACACCATGATGTACGCACAAACACATCCGTCCCTGGGAAGTAGATTAATGAGCGGTGGGTGAGCAGCGGTGTTGAGCTGAGGCCGATTAATCTGCAGCAATAGCCTGGCACAGTCAACCACGGCTTTGATGAATGGGAGCTTAAACCGCAACTGTATGCACGCACACACACGCACGCACACACACACACACATATAGCATGCAGACCGTCTGACATCATGGTACACACACAGACACAGATCGTGCAGGAATTCGCTTCATTGTGCAGGTGGTGCTGGAATGCTATGCTACTTATGGCTGCGTGGGGCAGGAAGGAGTCGGAGAATTAACCCTCCTCTGACCTCCGACTTCGGCCCTGACGTGTTTTGGCAGCTATGCTGGGAAGCCGGCTGCACGGTGCATTAATGTATTTCTCCTCAGGTAAATTCTTGATACCAGTCACACATATTTCTCAGGCTTCCAGTGCGGCTGTGGGCCTGTATGCGTTGCCTCTGGGGATGAATGTCACCGAGCTGCGTTTGGCAAACTGAACCTGTATCACACTCTGTCAAACACGGGACAACAAGTGATGCGAGTGTTGACGGCTGGATTTAGTCGGTGTACTTCTCGCTGTCATGTGCAAGAGGATCCCCCCCCTCAAGAAGAAAAGCAGGATAACAGCCTTGGATGCAGTTTGCTGGCGATGACAAAACACAGGGCCGATCCTTCACTGGTCTTCACTGTGATGCGGCACAGCTTGAACTCCTTAAAGTAAATGGTGGCTGATTGTCCCAGTCACTGAGTTGCTTGTAGCCCTGCGGCTTAAAAGGCTACTGCCGCCGCCCGGCACCTGTGATGCAATGCTAATGCCATTCCTTACTGCGGGAGGAGGGCGGTTATGATCCCGGAGAAAGAACAGGGTTCAGTGTGAGTAATGAAGCTCGTCCGGGAGAGAAACGCACATACACACCCACACAGATAATAAGCCTCAACTCTCCACTCGTCGCCGCAGCAGCAGCCTCATGCTGATTTCACCACTGCTGATCTATTTCAGTGTGCCGATCATTATACCGCGCCTCTGTTGGTCAGCCACAGCCGACAACCTGTAGACGGCTCACTGACCGAGGTTTACTGTGGAGCTAACTAGCTGCTCTGAGGTTAACGACCATGGTTTATTATGGAAGGTCGACTGACTGCGACGTCAGAAAGTTAATATCTTGTCATGTGGAAGAAATCACTATGATTTAATACACACGGTTGATATGATGTAAATCTTTGGATAAGTCAAGTTGTGATTGAAACACCCAGCAATGAATCAAAGGTTTATCAGAGCCCATCTACTTCCTGTTAAACCCCCCAGTACAAAAGCTGAATGCAATTATAGGATGTACATAAAAATAGATCCAGGTCCTGAGAGGGAAGGTAAAGTAGAATTGCCTGTATTCTCTGGAATGATCAGCAGAGGGCGACTCCACTGGTCGTTTCTACAGAAGTCTATGAGAAACTCTTCTTGATTTAAAAACATTTAAACATATTTGTAAGTTTCAATCTCACACAC